AATGCAATATTTACTAATGGTCTGCATGCAGGTGATACACCTTCCTGTCTAGATTTAAATTAAGAAGAGATGTAAACTAAATACATATTCTTTAAATATAACAATATAAAGAGAATTCTAGCACCTAACCATGAAAAGAGCTTTGTTCTATTGTTTGGCATCAATCAGGACTTATATTTATCAAAACTTCTTATCAGCAATCTCAGGTTCGACAGATCAGGCATAATAAGATCTGCTTGCTGACAGCCATATAAATACTTTTTCCACTTTGAAAGGTTCTCTGATGAATGGCAGAACTAGTATCTTTTGCTGCAAATCTCAGTTGTAAGAGGAAGGACAGGGCTGGTGAAAGAAGTTGTACAGTGTTTCATCAGAATGTGACATACTTATCAAAATACTGATCTGAAGGTTGTGATGAAACAATGGTATGTATAACAGTCTTCTTCTCATTCATCTGGTCTTTAGAGAAAAGAACTATATTGAACCTCTTCCTCTCAAAAACACTGGAACTTCCCCTTTATATACAAGATTTTGGACATTATTTATACCTTAAAAGCTTCAATATCTTTTCTGAGATATTGTAGTAATTACATTGTAAGTCACTGAGAACTGCATACTTGTAGGATAACCACATTTGAAAGCGTACTGTAATCTCACTAATGGTAACCCCACATATGAGTTTCAAAAGACTGTACTGAACATAAAAAGTGCTAAAAAAAACCCCTTTATATTTAAAGTAAGCTGCCAAAAGGGCCATAAGCTTTCATTTATCCAGTGGGAAGAATCTAAGACAGTAGCTAAAATACGGCAGGTGTCACGGGATACTGAAGATACAGGAGATCCCACACTTTCTAAAATTAAGGTAATGTACCTTTTCTGAGATGGCAAATCCTAATACCTTTAATATCATACAATAATAATTTTTCTCATTGTCTCCATTTTACGCTCGGGATAACTAAGAATCAGAGAGTAAAATGATTTGCCTAGAAGCCAATGGGAGCTGCGGAGGCAGTGCTCGGGGAGAGGCGGGGGCAGCGCGCAGAGCCGCCTGCCGCTCCTCTGCCTAGGAGCAGCCAGGACAGGTTGCCGCTTGCAGGGAATCA